TAGAACTGTGCTCCGTAGGGTTTTCTTGGCCGTCATCTTTACAGAAGCAGATTTCCAGGCCTTTCTTCCGTGGCTCTGATAGGTGGGCTCGAACCACTAAACTTTAGGTTAGCAGTAGAGAGCAAACTGCTTTTACCACTCAGGGACATAGATCCGAGGAAGATCTGTCTCTAGTATCTACTCATACAGCCCTCTGGTGGGTGGGGAGGAATATCTTCTCTCTCCCCTAGCTCTGTAATCACAGACCGAGGGTTTACAGGTTCCCAGGAATACAGGTAAAGGTGTGGACTGTAGTGTATGCTGATTGTTATGATTTTTGTTGAGCCATCTGCCAAATGATGCTGCTGTGGTGTCGGGTAAGGAGGCTAGCACTTACTTTCAGTACCATATGCCCATGAGTTTTTATTTCAGATGTTCCCAGTCCTAGAAACTTCAGATGTTTATGTGCCTCTACCTGACACCCAGTCCCCTGTGTCGTGCAGTTTGCACTCAGCAACTAACCGAAAGGAGGGCAGTTTGCATCTACCCAGCTATGCCGTGGAAGAAAGTCCTGGTGATCTACTTCCACAAGATTACAGCCATTGAAAACCCTATTGAACACAGTTCTACTCTGCAACATAGGGGGTGGCCTCAACAACAATGGGTTTGGTATGGGTTTACCTGACAAATCCCACCAGGATCCCATTGCTAAGACAAAAGAGAGGGCAAAAAGGGTGTGTTTTTGACAAGAGTTACCATTTGGTATCCAGCCATACATAGGACCTTCTAAAGACAAGTCCTGATTTGACGGTTAAAGATGGGAATTTGTTACATACTCAGAAGCCAGCAGAATAAAGTTTTCTGCTCAAGATAAAAAAAGAAAGAAAGAAAATTGGGGTACACAGCCAGAGTGGACTTGTATTGATTTGAAAAATAGTCGGACTGGAATGCTTTCTGGACTGCCAGCCTAGATGCTGGCTCTTCCCTAAAGACTCACCCCATGCCTAATCCATTCCTAACACCCTGCGTAGGTGCGGCC